ATGTATCCTAGGGTGCTCAAGCAATCCCTCTTGCCAGAAGTTCTGAAATGACACCTCAGATGCCCACTGGCACAAAGCGACCCTGTCATCAGGAACATATAGGGTGGCCCATTTAAAGAGGCCCCCAGCATTTTAATTGGCCTCCTTTTAAATGAGACAGCCTGTAAAATAGCTCCTTTGAAAATGGATTTCACTAGCACCTAACCACAACTCTATTTTTGTTGCTGGTGGTTTTATAGGGGCCCAGGCTCTTGTGTTGACTGACTGGACTCACATGGCTTTTTTCTGTCTGTTTTTTTGTTTTTTTGCCCTCTAGAACCCAGACCCCATTTTCTCCAAGGATTTTCATTAGTATTTGAATTCAAGGTATAAGGCAGGATAGGAGAAGATCCCCTCTTTCCCTTCCCCCCACCCCAGCTAGGCATTTTATCTCACTGGCAGCAAATCAAAGCCAGTGGCTTACAGCTTGGAAGTTTGGGAGTGATATAAATAGCATTTCTTGACTTTCCTGTCCCTTGATGCCCCGGCTGAGGCCATTAGCTAAATGTGAAGGGGGTGCCCAGGAAAAACGTGCTCATTTCCAGGGAGGGTCAGCGGGTTCCAAGTGAGAACAAGTGTGCCATACTGTGTCCACCAGTCAAATGCCTGCCAGCCAAGAACAGTGACTCTTCATTTCCCACCTCCTAGCTTTTGCCTGGGCTTTCACCTCCACTTGTTACAGTCCCTTCCCAGGTCAGGTATGCTTACCTAGGGATCCTGTTCTGATCTCCTCTCCCCACCTTCCTCAGCTTCTAGGCCTCAGTCACCACATTCATTACTTTGAAGGTGTCTTGTATGGACCTGGACTTGCTGTCTCAGCCCATAGACCCCCTGAGGGCAGGAACCATTTCTCTTGAGGCTTTGACTTACCAGCACTTGGCCCAATGCCTGGTACAAAACAATACACAGAATTTATATAGCGCTTTAAAGTCTGCACGGCTCTTGGAGCTATTATTTCATGCATTACAGGCATTATTTCATTCAATCCTCACAACAACACTGTGAAGTTGCTACTATTATTATCCACATTTCATATATGAGGAGAACAGGGAGCTGAGAATGGTTGGGTGACTTATCCAGGCTCACACAGCTGGCAATCATCTCAGGTGGGATTTGAACCCAGCAGCTAGGTGGCATAGCAGAGAAAGCGAACTCAGGAGGACCTGAGTTCAAATCCAGCCTCAGACACTTACTAGCTATGTGACCCTGGGCAAGTCACTTAACCTTGTCTGCCTCAGTTTCTTCATCTGTAAAATGATCTGGAGAAGGAAATGGCAAACGACTCCAATATATTTGCCAAGAGGACCCCAATATGGGGTCACAAAGAGTCCAACGTGACTGAACTACAACAATAAAATAATAACAACAATAGCTAGCAATTTATATAGTGTTTTATATCTCATTTGATCCTTACAACAATCTTGGGAGGAAGGTGCTATCTATAGATGAGTTTCACAGGTGAAGAAAATGAAGCAGGTAGAGGTAAAGTGGCTTGCTCAAGGTCACTCAGTATCTGAGGCCAAATTTGAACTCAGGTCTTCCTGACTCCAGGTCCAGTGCTTTATCTGATTTACCACCTAGAGGCCTAACCAAACAATTGTTTTTAGTCATTGACCTTATTTGGGGTTTCCTTGGCAAAGATACTGGAATGGTTTGTCATTTCTGTGTCTAGCTCATTTTACAGATGAGGGAACTGAGGCTAACAGGATGAAGTGACTTGTCCAGGGTCACACAGCTAGTAAGTGCCTATGTCTGGATTGAACTCAGGAAAAGGAGTCTTTCTGACTCCAGGCCAGGCATGCTATCCACTGGGCCACCTAGTTGCCCATACTAAGCTAAGTGTTAAGTGCTAAATAAATGTTTATTGCTCAATTGAACAATGCTTTTAGAATAACCACCCAGAGTCTCTGAAGGAGTGACCACTGCAAACTTCTTGGAGACAGAATAGGAAACTCCCTGTCTGAAGGTTGTCTTAAGAGTCTTCATGCAAATCCAGGTCTAAAAAGATTCTGGGGATGGAAATGGATTTGAGATTCTGTTTGAAACTTAGGAATAGCTGTGCCGTATCTGCATACTCAAAGAACCAGTGAATTCTAGTTTGAAGGGATCTTAACTCCTACTGAGTTCAACTGGGACTTTGGATTTCCTTGTCTGGATAAGCTCAGGGAACCTTTGCTTGAAGCCCTACTCTGTGTGTGTGTGTGTGTGTGTGTGTGTGTGTGTGTTTGTGTGTGTGTGTGTGTGTGTGTGACACAGAGAGAGAGAGAGCATGAGAGAGAGGATGAGAAAGACAGAGAGGGAAAGAGACAGAAAGAGATAGAAAGAGAGAGAAAGAGAGAGGAGGAGAGGAGAGGGAGAAGAGGGAGAGAGACAGAGAGAATGAGAAAGACAGAGAGGGAGAGAGACAGAAAGAGATGGAAAGAGAGAGAGAGAGAGAGAGAGAGAGAGAGGAGAGAGAGAGAGAGAGAGAAGAAGGAGGGAGAAGAGAGAAAGATGGAAAGAGAAAGAGAGAGCATGAGAGACTGAGAGGGAGAGAGAGACAGAGAGAGATGGAAAGAGAGAAAGAGAGAGAGAGGAGGAGAGAAGAGGAGAGGAGAAAGAGTGCACACACGACCTTCTGAGGGAGACCATTCTGCTCTGGGAACCTTCTGATTGTAGGAAGTTTGCTCTGACATCTAGACTAAATTAACTTTGCCTTTCTGCAACTTCCTCCTGTTTCTATTTCTGCCATCTGGTCTGCTCCCTCTTCCCTTTTACAACTTTTTATGTACTTGAACACAGCTACTCTGTCTCCCATAAATCTGCTCTTCTTCAGGCCAACTATCCTCCATTACTTCAGCCAGGGCCTCCTATGTCGTGACCTCAAAGTCCTTCACCACCCCTGGTACCTCAGTGTCACCCAAACAACAATACTCTCAATGAAGGCAAATATTTCATCCCACAATTTCAGTGCTTTGGTGGATGAAAGCACTCTAAGCAAATAGGAAGTCATTCATTCCTTCTCACCATGCACTACTTAGCCCCATCCCATAGAGTCCACCAACAGGGACCTACCTCACAAGCCGGGGACCCTTCCTCTAGCTCTCCTGGCATTGCATGGATGCCAGGAGAAAATTTGGCTAATCCAGATTTTTGATTTTAACCTCATGAGTTAGCAAGAATTCTTCTGTGGCTATTCTGGGAATTTCTTGAAAAATTCTTGGTTTGGACATGTGTTCCATTTCAACTAGCATTTACTAAGCCCGTACTACATACCAGGCAGTAGTCTAAGTGCTGGGGATAAAAAGAAAGTAAAAACATTGTACCTGCTCTTGAGTTCACAGTCTAGTGATAAGAGATGACATACAAGAAAATACATACAAATAAAATAAATGTAGGTAGGTTAGGTGGCGCAGTGGGTGGAGTTCCAGTCCAGGAGTCAGGAAGACCTGAGTTCAAATCTGGCCTCAGATGTTTACTTACTGTGTGACCCTGGACAAATCATTTCACCTTGTTTGACTCAGTTTTCTCATCTGTAAAATGAACTGGAGAACGAAATGACAAACCACTCCAGGATCTTTGCTAAGAAAAGCCCAAATGGAGTCATGAAGAGTCAGACCCATCTGAAAAATGACTAAACAACAAGATGTTTACAGAATATATTGGAGAGATAGTGTCAGAGGGGAGGTACTAAAGAGGCCTGGGAAAGGTTTCCTGCAGAAGAGATTTGAAGGAAGTCATGGCAGGCACTGGATGTGTCTTGTATGTACATAATTACTTACATGTTATCTCCTTCAGAAGAATGTGAGCTGAGGCAAGAGAACAGGTGTTTGTGTTTTTGTCTTTTTTTGTATCCTTAGAGTAGCCTTAGCTGTGCCTGGCACACAGTAGGTGTTTAACAAACACTTGTTTCTCCCTTTCCCCTTAGCACTGTGCTGGGCATATATTAATCCTGAATAAATGATTATGGGCTGACTGCAGGTTACTTTGGCCCAAAGAACCTCTTCATGTCCCTTTTGGATCTCGACTTGGATTCAATTAACCATTAATCATTCCTTTAGCATTTACTCTGAGCAAGGGAGTGTTAGGGCTGGGAAAACAAGGACAAAAATCAGTCTTTGGCCAAGTTTAGCTCTATAGTCAAGGACCCCATGATTTAATTAGTAGCTAGTCAATAATTTAGAGTGTCAGAGAGCTTCCTGAAATTCAGTGGTCACCCAGTCAATAGCTATCAGAGATGGAATTTGAACCCAGTTTCTTGACTACCAGCCCAACACTACTTAGAATATAATTCATCAAGCATTTATTGAGAGCTTACTATATGCCGGCTGATTGGTTGAATCAAATAAATATCATATAATTTCAGAAGAGGATGCATTGACAATGTGGGGGATCAGGAAAGACGTTTTGTGGGAACCAGTCCTTGAAGTTGAGCTTTGAAGCCTAGTTAAGAAGGTGACTTAGAGGCCCAAGGTGTGAATATATGGGTTCTTTCTGTTTGGCCCCAAGTGAGTTGCTCTCTCAATAATTCCACAGAGAAGTAGTCACCATCATCGTAGGGTAGTGAGTGTATCTTGGATGTACATGGTTGTTTGTCTGTCTCCACCATTAGAATGTTCCCTGAGAAAAGGAATCCATGTATACCTTTCTTTGAATCCCCAGCTGTCTTATAGTAAAAAAGTAATAAATGCTTATTAATGACCAAACAGATGAACCCAAAGTGTGAAAGATTCTGGTTTCTTCGTGATCAGATCTTCATTATATTTTGTAAACAATATGTGCTTAATAAGCTTTTGTTGAATTGAATTGGTTGAATTGCATTATAAGGGGTCTTACCTTTGCCTTGAGCTCCATTTTCTTTCAGTAGCTAGGAGAGGTTTGTCCACACCCTATGTGAGTGAGTCACACTCCTATACTAATACCATAATGGTGTGAAGCTTTGTTTGGTACTCATCTAATGGACCAGCCTATCTTTCTCTCAGCCCTTGGGAAAAGGGCCATCTTGACTCTGGGAGTAGGAGGGAAGTTCCAGGATGAGAGAAGATCCCAGACTTTTCTGAGATTTGCCGATCAGGGAGCTGCCTTGGGATTTGGAGTGCCAGTCATGCTGTTTGGAGAAACCAATACATTGGATGCCGCGAGTAAGCCATCTATCTGTTTTTCTCTTTGTCTTTCTGGGCTGTTGACTATAAGAGAAGCAAGAATTTATTCTGTTGTGGGGTAGCTGGGAGTTACTATTGAGCATAAAAGTTTACTTAAAGGGGGTCTCAGTTCATTGGGCCATAGAAGAACCCAGTACAAGGGATGATGATAATAGCAATCATAGGGAGTGGTCCTGTGTGACCTAAGTAACAAAGTAGGTGGAGTGCGGATTTGGAGTCTAGGATTTGGAGTCTAGGAAGACCCGAGTTTGAAATCCTGCCTCAGATGCTTAGTAATTGTGTGATCTTGGGGAATTTACTTAACCTTTTTTTCTTGCCTCAGTTTCCTCATCTGTAAAATGGGGGTGCTATTATTATTATTAGTCTAGGAGACTTCCTTTACCAGCAGTGGTCACCATCAATATGTATGGCTCATTGTCAATGTTGTATCAGAAGTGGGACTTTGAACCCAAGTCTTCCTTGCAGGTCTTCTATCCACTATTCCTTGATGTTTTTCAATATTAGCATTTAAATCAAGTCAAGTAAACAAACATTTCTTATGTGCTTCCTCTTATTAAGTGCTATTATTGCAATAGACGGTTGGTTGGTCTTCCTGCTTCCTGCCTCTCCCCACTGCAGTCCATCTTCCCCTGAGCTGTTAAAGGCACCTTCCCAAGTGCGGGTTAGCCCCATTACCCTTTCCGGACAGCCCCCCACCCCACCACCTCAATCAACTTCAGTGGCTCAGAATCAAATCTAATATCTTCTGCTTGGCTTTTCACCTGGCCTCTTCTTTTCCTTCCCGTCTTTGTACACCTTGCTCCCTCGCATGTGCTCCCCTTGCAGGGGTACTGGTCTTCTTTCGGTTCTTCCCACATGCATGACACTCTGTCTCACACTCAAGCCATTTTCATTGGCATTTTGCTGGTCCCCCATGCCTGAAACACTCTCCACCTTGATCTCTGCCTCCTTAGCTTCTGAAAGTTTCAATTCCCCTTAAAGCTAGTGTTTTCCCTCTGTTTTTATCTGCATTTTATCTTGTCTGTATATCTTGTAGGAGCAGAGTTGTCTGCATGTTGTCTTGTTAGAGAGGAATCCCCATCCCCTTCAAGGCCGAGACTTTTTCACCTTTATATTCTTAGCATTGTAAGTAAGGAGGTACTTACTAAGTGATTGTCGACATGACATGACCCAGTATGAGTACCAGGTACACTTGTATTGGGAGTCAAAGGACCTGGGTTCCAATCTTGGCCTCTTGTCACTAGGTGGATGGCTTTTGAGCAACCTCCCTAAGTCTCATTTTACTCTAAATCTGTAAAATGATGAAAATAATAATGACATACTTTGCCCAGTGATTACGAAGAAATCGATTTATGAAACCTTAAAATATCACCTTAGAAATGGGTGATTTTTATTATGGTTTATGATGCCGCGTGCCAGAGAGTTTTGAACTCTACCAACTGCTGCAAGAGGTTTCCATATGCTAGTGAAGCATCAGAACCTTAGCTAAGGTGGATAGAGTGCCAGGCCTGGAGTTAAGCTTCAGAAACTTGGTAGATATGTGAACCTGGGCAAGTCACCACCTCTGTTTGCCTTAATTTCCTCATCTGTCAAATGGGCTTAATAACCCCTCCTACTTCCCTGATTGTTATGAAGACCAAGTGAAATAGTAATTGCAAAGTGCTCAGTGCAGTACCTGGCTCATAGTAAACACTGTGTAAATGTCACCTGTTTGACGACTCCTCCTTGTCGTGTCCTCCCCCTCACCTAACGGAGTGGCTAGTACATAGCAGTCATGAGATAAATGCTTATTGATTGGGGGATCAGAGGTGGTCCTGGTTTTTAAAATTCTGAGCTTAACAACATACGTCTGAGCATTTCCATAGATATAGCAGAATTTAAAAAAAAAGGATCGTATGAGTGATTGTGAATCTCCATTTCATATGACTTTCTAAAAAGGATATAATGATAAATATATATTTTATATATAAATATAAATCCCATATGTTACTTTCATAACTGTCCTACTTATCTATATTTTCCTTCTAAACTTCCTTCTCTGTATAAAAATACTTTACAGTGGTCCTTTTTTTTTGGCAATCCTACCTACCCTATCTCCCTCATCCTGAATTAAAATTCAAGAGAACAAAAGAAACTCCATAACCTTGTTAACAAATCAGCGTGGTCAAGTAAAATGGATCTACCCAGTGGGAGAAGTCCAAACACACACACACACACACACACACACACACACACACACACATACAAGCACTGGCCCTGGAGTCAGGAACTGGGTTCAAATTTAGCCTTAGACACTTTTGAGCTGTGTGACCATGGGCAAGTCACTTAACACTAAAGCAGTCTCTGTCTGTCTGTCTCTTTCTCTCTGTCTCTGTGTGTTTCTCTGTCTGTCTCTCTGACTCTCTCTTTGTCTCTCTCTCTGTCTCTCTGTCATGTATATATACATATATATATATGACTCTTACTTTACATTGAATCCACCCCTTCTCTATTGGGAGGTGGGTCCCACACTTTTCATGGATCCTCTGGGCAGTGGTTGTCTCTTTGCTCTGAGGCTGTTCCTTAAGCCTTTCAGAGTTGTTTTCTTCACCATGCTGCTGCTGTTCTTGAGGTGATCGCTCTCCTTTCTGCTTAGTTTATTTTGCATTCATTTACACTCACCCAGGCTTCTCTGGAACTGTCCCTTTCATCAGCCCCTACTGTGTGATAAAATTCTGTCATGTTCTCATGCCACAATTTGTTAATCCACTGATAGGCACCCAACTTACAGTCTAGTCTTTTTTTTCTTTTGCTCCTGACTATTCCTTCCCCATATTTTCCTCTCTCTTTATCCTCCCATTCCCAACTTGTTTTTCTGTTGTTTGATATATTTCTACACCAAATTGTGTGTGTGTGTCTATACATTTCAGTTAAGATATGCCTAGTTCCCCCCCCCCCCCCGTTTCTTTCTACAAATTTATCTGTTCTTCAGGAACCCAGATTATGAGATTCCACCTCCCCTCTTCCTCTTTTGTGCTGTCATCCATTCTTTTTACCTTCCCTTCTTTCTTCTCTCACAACCTTCAGAACTGAATCAGCCCAGTCCTGGTCCCTCTGTTTTTCTTGTGTAACTTCTTCCGTATCCTTTTAACACATTACAATTCTGAAAGGACACACATTGGTTTTCCTCCTTGTAGAATGTTAGCACTACATCATCATATAAACCTCTTCAAATTGCTTAAATAAATTTACCTTTCTAGGTTTCTCTTGATTCCTGTGTTTGTCTTTAAAAGTTCCTACTCAGCTTTGGTCTTTTCATCAGAAATACTTGAAAGTCCTTTATCCAGTGATGAAATAATATTTGTCAAAGTGCTTAGCCCAGTGCCTGGAACATAGTGATAAATAAATACTTACTCACCTTCCTCCCCCTTCCCCACATACATTAAAAGTCCATTTTCCTTCCAATAGGATTAAATTTAGGATTGCAAGGCCAAGTATTATTGCTGTAAGCTGGTAGTGCTTTTCAAAGTGGGGGCAATGAAATCATAGGTCCTTGGAATAAAAAAGTTATTGGCATCTTGGAACAAGTATCAACATAGGTCCCATCAAGCTGGGAAATTTGGATGATGTCAAGGTATTGGACTGAGAATGCCTGGGGGTGGGACTTCTGGGTGGAGGGTGGGGAGAGGTTAGGTTGAGTTCTTACATCTGGAAATCAACTATGACTTTTCTTCCTGTTTGTGTCTGGGGAGGGGTATGGTGAAAGTATAGCCTGAAGGAAAAACCTGGCCTCTCCAATAGACCCTTGGGAAAATGCCCAATTAATTGCCTGCTGAAATGCTGTGGCCCTAGGAACTGAGAAAGCCCAGCCTTCAGTCTACTTTCTGCCTTGGGGGAATGGAAATTGGGAGTGGTTGGGGAGCTATGGTATCCAAGGAGAACTTGGTGCTCCACAATGTAATAAAATATACATTTCCATAGGTTTCTAGGTTTGCAAAATGCATTCCTGACAATCACTTTGTAAGGTGAGCAGTGCAAAGATTGTTCAGTATCTGTTATATATGAGGCTCAGAAGTTGAAGGCTGCAAGGCCCCAATGGTAAGAATGTAGGCTCTGGAGTTAGCAGATGTAGGGTCAAATCCCACCTCTGGGGCTTACTGCCTATATGATTTTGGGCAAATCACTCCCTGGCCCTCAGTTTCCTCATCTGTAAAATGGGAGAATTGGACCAAACCATCTCTGTAGGCTTTTCCAACTCTAGATCTATGATCCTAAATCACTTAAAACAACCTGAGCTTCAGTTTCCTGATCTGTGAAAGAAGGTCAACTGGACTATATGGCCTCTAAGGTCCCTTCCATCTCTAAATCTAGGGCATTGTTAACTAAGTTAAATGGCTTTGCCATGACTGAATATGTTGGAGCAACACATTTTTTTTTAAGGTTATCCAACTCTAAGATTCTGGGATTCCAACATGTCTAGCAATATGGCTTTCAGGAAGTAGCTTTTACCCATCCGGCTGATGCTAAGCCCTTTTCCTTCTTCCAGGGGTCTGTGCCCTTGAGAGCCTAAAGTGAGGTGCCAAATGCATGAAGATTCTATAGCATTCTATCCCCCTTAGTGCTGAGGCTGATGATGAAGACCTATCCCCACGCCAATTATTGTCATTCCTTCACTTTAAGGTTTACAAAGTAACCTTCATTTATCTGAGTGTTTTAGGAATCATTAGGATCCATTCCCTACAGATGAGGACATTGAGAATGAGAGATTAAGTGAGCATCTCTGTCACTTCCTGTCTCTGTGACTTTGGGCAAGCTATTTAATGTTTCTGGGCCTCAGTTTCCTTCTCTGTAAATCAAGGGGGCTAGACTAGATGACCTGTAAAGTTTCTCCCAACTTTAACTCTGTGATCCCATGATCTAATAAAGCAGACAAGATCAGTGACTTACTCAGGGTCATTAGTTGTGGTTCAGTCCTTTCAGTCATGTTGGACTCTTCATGG